ACATGAGTCCAAAAATTATGGAAAAGTAAAAGAAAAGATTCTTTCATTGTTTTACAAACCCTCCCCCAGGTCCCCTCCACCATGCAGCCCTCGTTCTAGTCTCCTGTGATGACAGAAATACCCAGTTACATCTCTCTTTTAAACGGCATTTCCCTACTTTCATTCACCCTAAATGTCTAAATGCAAACAATCATTTCCTTCACTCCACTTTGTTTGCAAAAAGATATAGCTCCAAAAAAAAAAAGATATGGCTCCAAAGAATCCCTGTGGTAAGAAGCTGCTCTGCAATCCCAAAGGCACATGATTCAAATCCACCAGATGCTCCTCTGGAGAAGGAGGGGCAATCTCCTCCTGTGCCAGTTGGATTTTATTAGAAGGCGCACAACAACAACAAAAAGAAAAAAGATATGGCTCCATGGTAAACAGTAAGCTATACCTTAATTTTTCCAAATTTAGATAACTATAATTTGGGAAAAAACAAGATATTTTTAAAAAATTATCTCTGAAACACCAACAGATTTTTATATCGTTCATCGTTCAGTAGCAATTGACCAAGATAACTGCTTTCTTTGCTGACAGACTGAATTATACAACATCAAATACATTTAGCAACCAAAGTCAGGAATAGCTACAGAGCATGCAATTTTAAATTAGTAAAGGTTTCCCTGCAATAATCAAGTTCATACAACTGAAATTAACAATAACTTTTTAAGTTTAAACTTTAATTGCGTATCAGGCCAATTCAATCATCTAATGAGCCCATGGGCAGGTATATTTAAAACAAAACAACACCTAGGAAGATTTATACCATCTTTTCTTTTAAAGAACCTTTACTATTCAGAGAAACTAATAACTATTTCTCTAACTGGCTGAATATTGTATTTGTAAAAAACAATTTAAATGTATTTAATACCTATCACCAGACTTTTTACCTTCACTTGTTGGGCTCCCCCAGGCTCATCCGTGGCTTCATCCTTCGCCATGCACCCCGTTGCCCTGAGAATGCCTTCTTCCTGGACCATGTGCGTACCTCTTTTTTGTTCAACCTACGCCGGCAGCTGCCCCAGAACGTCCTGGACACCTCCTGGCCCACTCCCCCACCTGCTCTGCGTGAGGTCTGTAGGCTGCCCCTGTTGAATTTTGGTGTATCAAAGTAGTTGTGTGTCCCTATGAGCAATCAGAGAGGGCTTCCTGAAGGAGGGAGACTGGAACTAGCCTGTAAAGAATTAATTCTTTGGAAAAAAATGACTCAGGAATAGGAGGTTTGTCCAGGGATATTGCTTAGGCAAATGGTTGGTGTGGAGCACATGTCTGTGTTTCAGAGGGACGAAATTAAAGCTGTGTAGGTACTCTAACCTCGTTCTTCACCACAGGCCTCAGAGCTTCTTCGGGAGTTATGCATGAAGAACATGGTGTGGAAATACTGTCGGAGTATTAGCCCTGAGTGGAAGCAACAGGTATGGAGAGTAAAGAGGGAGGTATGAACTAAGACGTGGGTTCATGACAAGTGGCATCACTCAGGGATGCTTGTCCATAGGAGCACTGTGTGACCACAGATCTCAACCTTTTTTTGGCCTTATGAATGGAGTCTTGAGTAGATTATGGGGTGACCAATTGAGTTCATCATTTGGGCCAAGTCCCTTGATTGATCTAGGCTTCCTAAGAGCCTTGTGCTGAAAAGGCATCTGGGGCAGCATCTTTACAGTGCCGTGAACCATTGGTAATGTCTGCCGTGGTTATAGGCACAGACAGCAGCCACTCCTGTGTTAGGTATTTGCCAACAATTATGACTGGAATAGTGTTCCAGGATACACCCAGTTCAGATAATCTGTTATCTTGATGTGCCATTGAGTCAGAAAGGACTCATAGTTGACCTTTCAGTGAGTTTTCACAGGAGGAGATTGCTTGTATCTCTTCTGTGGAGCAACTGATGAACTTGAACTGGTGATTTCCACTAGCTCATCTGTAGTCTTGAATCTTAGCTGTCAGCGAGCTAGTTTCCAGATCCCAGACTGGAACTAAATCTCAGGGGCCCTGGTGTCTATTAATGGTGGGAAATCTGAGCTAGTTTCAAGATCCCAGGCTGGAACTAAATCTCAAGAGCCCTGGGGCCTATTATGGTGGGAAATCTGAGCCAATATGACCCCTTTGGGGTCTTGTCAGCCTTAGTTGGTGAGAGTAAGGGTAATGAAGGGGAGGGACTAATGGGAGAGTTGATGGCAGGACTTAGCCGCCTAGTGTGGGACCAGAAAGGATGCTTCCTAAGTTGCTGAGGCTGGATCTTCCGTCCCCTGATGGCCCCCACCTCCTCTAACCACTTGCTCCCCGACTTATCTCCTCAGCTGCAACAAAAGGCTGTGGCCAGTGAGATCTTCAAGGGCAAGAAGGATAACTATCCCCAGAGCGTCCCCAGGCTGTTCATCAGCACCCGGCTCGGTGAGCCCCTGAAAGTCCAGTGCTCTATCCTCCCCTTCTGCCACCATTCAGGGCTGTGGAGGGAGGACCCAGCTTGGACCCCTGAACCCTCACCTCTGCCTTCCCACCTTTGGGATCACTGCTGAGCCTCTCCTCTTCCATCCATCCTCCTGGAGCCTCTTCCCCATTCTCCTCTCCACCCTCACAGGCCTCTTCCCCTTCTCTCCATTCTCCAGGGCTTCTCCACTCTTC